CTCCGATTAAAAACAATAAAAAGAGACCCTCTGCAATGTGTAAAAAGTCTGTATCTGTATGAATGTGTGAAGAAATTGTTCCTCCACCTCCTCCTCACAACATCTGACTACCCGGCATAATTGGTGACTGCTCCATTTTCATTTTTTTAATAGTACAGTACGGTTATTTTATGCTGCGGAACGAATTATATGTTTTAACATGTATTTCTACGGGAAAATGCATTTCATATAACGGACTTTTCACTTAATGGACGTGCACCTGGAATGGATTAAGTACGTTATACGAGGCACCACTGTATTTTGTGTTTTGTATTTGTAAACCTATTACATTGTTAATAAATGTGTTGCAGGCACCATCGGCTCAAACCTTTAACCCCCCCTACTTTGACCCACTTTTACCTCCTATTCTTCACCTCGCTTCTTATTTCATTATCTTTCTCCCCAACCTCCAGGTCGTACCTTTGAGTGATACCTGGAGTCCCCCCTTCTTTCTAAAAATACCTGTGTGTGAGAGACAATTTTGTTCACTTTCTTTGAAACTTAACTCCTGTATTTTTTCAAAAATTTCTGAATTTTTGTAGAGAGATGTGTGTGTTAGAGGAATTGATGCTATTAAATTTGTTCGTTAAATGTTGACGAGGCAGGAGATAAATGGGTTGGTTGCTTGTCATATATCGAGTAGGGTCGGACTTAATGATTTTACTCATTAGCAATTTTTATAAAACCCATACCTACTCAAAATTAAGCTTTTTGCCATTTTATAATAGTTAAAAATATTATAAGTTTTTTTAAATAAAATATTGTAACAGATGGCATCACCAAAATTTTAACTGTTGCAGGAAAGTTAAGTAGTTTGTTGCTGGATTTTTTAATTTTAGATTTAGATAAGTTTTAAACCTTTTTTTTCACAGTTTTAGTTTTCTATGCCACAGAGCTGTTTTGCTTTCCTAGAAAATATAAGATATTTAGTATTAAAAACTTTTAAATATTTTTATAAGTTTGTTAATATTATTATAATTAATTTTTTGATTAATTTTAAAAATAAAATTTATTAGTATAAAATTTAGATGGCTGGATGGTCAAGGGGGTTAAGGCATCAACCTATTGCTATGGGGGACCCTGGAATGAATCTAGACAGTCTAGAAAAACTCCAGAAATTTTTTGGGGGTGGTTCATCCTGGATATGTCAGCCTCTATCCCTCACTAGTCAGCCACCCCATTGTATGCTTGATTAAAAGGTTATCTTAGTGCCCAAAGAGCAGAGACAAAAAGGAAGGGAAAAAACTATAAAATAAAATATATAAAATGATTGTTCATTTAAAATCAGGATTTTTTCATTTTATATTCTACTAGCAGATAAGCCCGGTGTTGCTCGGGCAAAAAGTAACAATAGCGAAGATTAAGATTATTACATTTTCAAAGAATGCAAGAATTAGGTCCCCCTGTTTCCAGACTAATTAGAGAATTTTTAGATGGGTTAAAAAATGTTAGATTTTCCACAAAAACAAAAAAAACTGCATCTGCGCCTGTAAATCTTCCACATCACTTTCTCTTAACACTTCCATTGTCGAAACCTTAATCCTGTCCCTTTCCCCCCAGGGGGAATTTCGAAAAATCCCTTCTTAGTGTGCATTCTCGTGATGTACCCTAACTGTGTACCAAATTTCAACTTTCAGCTCCTAATCGCTTGGGCTCTGCGCTGATTATTATTATTATGTTGGGTTTAGTGGGATACTCGGTTCACACCGGTGGCTGTGTACTATGCCGGACCAGAGTCAAGGCATAGCAACCAAAAACAATGACNTTAAATTTTATAGAATTATTTAATATATATTATTAGAATCAGAAATATATTTAATAAGGATTTTAAAGTTTTTAAAAATTCCTTAAATCCTTAAATTGATATAATTGGACTATGTTTTTCATACAAAGAAAGTAATTTTATATTTCTGAAATTAAAGGGTATTGCACTGACCTTTTGCATGTTTCCAGCAATTTGGTATAAATCAGAAGCAAATGTTTTCGGCTTTGTTATGGGCTAATATCAGGCTTTTAACAGAGTTTTTTAGCTGAACTTTTTACCTACTTATGGTTTATACTGAATTGCTGAAAATGTGTAAAAGGTCAGTGCATTACCCCTTTAAAAAGTTCCAGCTGTAGAGAATATATTTTTTATTTCTGAAATTACTTGGGCTTCCTTGTTTTGTGATCAATCAAGAATTTTAAATGATTTTTACACTACTATATTTACACTATTTGAATTAAATGAGAAATACCTGAATATCACAAAATTTTTAGGTTTTCACAGTGTTGCTAGTATTACTAAATTTTACTAGAGCTAAATTATACCATAAAATGTTAGGCTATCAAATAATTTTTATCCGAGATGGATTTGCACCACTTTCAAAATAAACAAATTTGCAATACCATTAACCATCAGAACTTCCATTGCCAAAATATTAATGATGTTGAATTATTTTGATTATAGATTGTTTACAGATAAAAAGGTCATACTAAATTTTATCTATTGTTATCATAACCTTCATTTTTTCAAAAATGGACTTGCACCATTTTCAAAATAAATGGATCATATAATTAATGACTTGTGAATTACTCTACAGATAGATAGGCATAATTTCTTCTATTAGAAACTTAATTCAAAATTTTTAAAATTATGATTGTATTTTAACTAAAGTCATTTCTTCAGAAACAGATTTATAAAAATTTTAATAAGAGATTTGCTTACAGAGAAATTACTTTTAACTATATTGATAAAACACAGTAAAAAGATTTTCCGATTAATTAGTTTATATCAGTGGTTCTCAATTGCAGTTACCAGTCACATAAATATCAAGTTTTTATGGATTAAATTTCAACATGAAAAAAAAAATTTATATATGATAAGACATCAGATAGACTTTTACAAAAGCAAGGTTCAACAATATGAGACATAATTTGTTATTCAGAACACTGGTGTTTTAATAAACTTACTAGATTTATTTTAATAGCCAACAAACATTGGCAAATCTTTATTGGCTCTTTTGTGTTGTAAAGGATGCCTTTAGTCAAAAGATGCTTACAAGGAGAGATTATGACATGTTTTCTGAGATTTCAATAATAATGTTTGTATGGATAAGCCTTGGTATGAACCTTTATTGAGCAAAAGAAGAAAGTGTGCTTCTTGAATATTTATGAGAAAATCAAAGTTAAAAAAAAATAAATTTCTTAAAATTTATTTTTTAACCAAAAAAGTTTTTTACATTTGGGAATGTAAGAATATTATGAATAATTTAAGCAATAAATAAATTCAAAAAATCATTAGTTATAACTAACTTTCATTATCACATTGTTTACTACCATACATAACAATTCAAACATTTTTCAATGTCATTTCTTTTTTTTTCTTATTGTTTATATCGTAAGTATATTTCTTCTTCATAGCAAATAAAACAAGCAGATAGTAAAAGTAAATTAAAGTTATAAGGTAAGACTAATAAAATCATAAACTTAAAATAATTAAAGTTTGTTTTTAAAACTTCAATAATTAAGTTTATTTTTTTAACAGACACAATCAATACATTTTGTCTATTTATGAATAAATCGTATTGATTTGAAAAAATTCACTTATTGAGATAAGAACCAGCAATCTTGCAAATATGAGTAAGGCACACTGCTGCTGAACCAGATTGTCTTCATTGAAAGGTTTTGCAAAACCTATTCATAAGTTGCTTGGGATTTTTAACTTTTATTTTCTTGGAATATGTTTGAGAAGCACTTTTTTTTTCCTTTGCTCAATAAAAGCTTGTACCATGAGATCAGCTGAAACTATTGCAGCTGACTACATTTGCCTGAGACATGCTATTTGGCACAGGAGGACCTAAGACTGAGACCATGAGATCTGTGCTTTTATTGACAATCATGGTCAGATCTAAGTGGTTGGCCTAAACAAACCTCTATATTATGTAATAAAGGATACACCTTGTTAATTATCACTGTCACATGCATTTGAGTTAGTGATAATTCTGTTATTGTTAACAATATATTTATTTGAAGTAAGACTTTTAAAGGTTTTAAATCAAGTAATTTTTTTGTACATCTGAATATACTTTTACACTCAACAATTTGAACATTTAGAGAGAGAGAGAGAATGACAAAATGTCTCATCTGTGTCTAGTGTTTGATCAATAAGTACTGTTTAAACTGAAATTTTGGTTAAAACCATCAAATTTGTAGTTATTAACCCATTTGTAGACAAATGGGTTAACAATAACTACAAATTTGATATATGAATATACAGTATATCATAGTATATGAATACAAATTTCCTTTTGCCCTTGACGTGAATCTTATGATAGAAATTTTTTCACTTGAATGCAGTGAGGATTCCAATATACCCTTTTATATGGACTGAGTTTCAAGAAATTAAACCAATATGGGTGAAGTTTTTCAATTGTATGGCCAATCAGAATTTAGGTAATTAGTTCTTAGTTTGTCAGAAAGAGATGGACATCATTGTTATTTTGGGAGAAAACCTTGACATGTCATCCTACTCTTATCTAAGCCTAAAATGGCTTATCTATCTATCTATCTACTCTATCTAAGCCATTTCAGACTTAGATGAGAGTAGCAGAATTAAAAAATAAAACAAGGTATTATGTTGATTAAGGATTTTGGATTCTCAGATCATCAAGGCTGGTACATAAAAACCATATTAATGAAACCTCTGAGGACCACATTGTAACCCCCTTTAAGGGCTAAAATTGAACACAAAATTTGTAATTATGAATTTCAAGTAGTGATAAAAACTTCATATAAAGAATGTATTGTTGATTTCAGTTGTATAAAGAATTAATTCACAAACTGATTTCCAATTAGTAGGCTTATATATGATTATTTTTATTTTAGGTCTTATATTTTGTTTCCTGTTGGGGGGTTAGTTTGGGGTGTTGGAGCTTTAATTAATTTCCAAATCAAATTATAAAATAAAATCTTTTTTCTAGTATATTGAATATGACTGATGATCTTGACTACCAGAAAAAAATATTGAAACAGTTGAAAGGCAGAATGAGAGAATTGGAACATACAGTTCGTGTGTCTCAAGTATATTTGGAATCGATAAAACATATAACAGAAAAGCATGAAGGTAATTTTATGTAAAGTTGTTTTATATAAATAAATAGAATGTTTGCTTATACAGGGTGTTTATAATTAAAGTTTCACTTTGAAATGGCCATAAAATGAAAACTACTGGACAGAATGTTATCAAATTTGGTAATAGTGTACAGGACGTCATGGGATTTTATTTCCCATGAAAAAAATAGTTCAAAAACTCACCACCAACAGGAAATGGCGCTGTCTGCAATATTGTTAAACGAAGTAAGACATGAAGATATCATTGAAATTGTTTTTAATTGGTTTTAAAACGAAACTGTTTGTGGGTTACTCCTGATATGCTAAGAGCTACTGTTGAGAACACAGTAATATGATGTAACTTGCTTATCAAAAATGGTGTCCACCATTTTTGATAAGCAACATGCTCTGTTGCTTATCAAAAAGTAAAATGCATTGAACATGCTCTGTAATGCATTTTAAAACCGATTTAAAAACATTTTCAACAATGTCTTCTTGTCTTATTTCATTTAATGATATTGCAGACAATGCCATTTTCCATTGGTGGTGAGTTTTTTAACTTTTTTTTCACAGGAAATAAAATTCCATGACGTCCTGTACACTATTACCAAGTTTGATAACATTCTGTCCAGTAGTTTTCATTTTATGGCCATTTCAAAGTGGAAACTTAATTATAAACACCCTGTATATGATATTTTGAGTTCTTGGTAAAATTTTTTTAAAATGATCATATTTACTTGATTTGGATAAGAAATTTAAATAAATATGATAGAATTTCTTGTTATAATTTTATTTTATTGTATTTTTACTGATTCATGAATTTAGTTTTAATGTATTAATTTGATTTTCTTTTTTAATCCATTAATTTGAGTGGAGCTTTAATGGAGTTCTGCATAAGTCAGTGTTTTGTCTGTAATTGAAGTCCAAAGCAATTACTTGATCACTGAACACGATTTTTTTGCAAATAAATAAAACTTGGCAAGACCTGTGTCATGACAAAGCTGGAATGGAATTTGATCTATGGGCTGAGATATTTAAACACAAAGTTTGCCAAGTAAAGTCTAAGTTGGTTGTACACTACTTGTCAGTCATGTTTATGATTGCTATCAATCTACATTTATCTCTAAGACAATTTTTACTTTCCTTTGCCATACTTTCCCTCTGTTACATATAAAGAGGGAAAGTATGGCAATCAGTCAAAAAATGACCCCCAAGATTTTTATATTTTTGGACTCAATGGACCATGAAATGTTGAGAAATGCAATAAAATTTGGGGGGGATTTTCTGTATGTATGGATTAGTGATGTGTCGGATATCCGTATCTGTATCCATATCCACAGATATCCGAGAGAAAAGAAAGATCCGTACCATATCCATTACTTTTTAGCATCCATTACTTTAACGGATCTTTTATCTTAATGAAAATCATTACTTATATGAAATTTTAAAGATAGGTAGCAATAAAATGCTAATAACTTCAATTCAAATCACTTTTTATTTCTTAAAATCACATATTTGGCACATTCATATTGCAAAAATTTTATCATCTTTATCAATTTTATCATATTGCAAAAATTTTATCATGCAAAAATCATTTACTATCATAAAATATTTCCATATTACACTGCTAAACTTTTTTGTCGACATTGTTTTTATTTTAATTTAACTCAACACTCTCCAAAAACACAAACGTAATCTATGCTAACCCATGTCACACTAAACTATAAACAAAAACACGTGCAGTGCAAGTCAAAACATGTTGCGTTACTAATGCAAAGCATCAACTTTCAGTCCAAGGTCACTCACACCGGCACTGACCAAGTATGAAAATTGAGATCTGTATCCTCGGATATAGACACTAATGATCCATATCTGTATCCGTATCCGCGGATATACATTTTTAACGATCTGGCACATAACTAGTATGGATGTGTGTGAGCTGCTTAAGACTCAAAGGATTACGGCTCTGAGGATATGCAGGGCCTATCGTACAGCTCCCACTTCGGCCTTGCTGGTTATAGCACGCCTTACTCCAGTGTACATCACAGCAAGAATGGCTATGTGGAACTGGATCATCTGCAACAATTCCCATAAAAACATTCTCAACACCAATTAAAAACGCAGCAACAACTTTCCAGAATTCTCCGAAGACATTAAAAGCGATATTACCAAGTTTGGAATTGAGCAAAAACCGATTAAATTCAGCAACCAACAAGATTACCTACTCTTAGTGACAATCAAACTAACCAAGTCAGCAATAGTGATATTTCGATATATATGGATGGTTCTAAACACCAAGAGAGTGTTGGTGCGATGTTTGTACTGTATAACCACACCACTGGAACCACCCATAAATCGGCCTTCAGGCTTGGACCACACTGCACTGTCCCACAGACGGAGATCTTGGCAATTACTAAAGCAATAGAGCATGTCTATGAAGATTGGTTTACTCATGCTAAGACCATAGGCATCTACACAGATAGTGCAACGGCTCTGCACTCTATCTACAGCTCTCATAACGAAGGGCAAACATCCTTCGCATTCACCACTACCTAACTACCAACAGCCACAGCCACACGATCTTTTTCAGATGGGTCCGTGGACACTCTGGTGTTTTGGGTAATGAGGCAGCCGACCAGCTGGCCAAGCAGGCCGCTGCCTTCAATCTAAACCTGAGCTACAGCAAGATTCCCGTCTCAAAAATAAAGCAGTGGACTCTAGAGCTAGCTCTCAAACAATGGCAGGAAGAGTGGGATAATGGCACAATGGGAAGAATAACACACACCTTCATCCCGAACATCAGTAGCAGACTTAAATGGAAACATTTTTTTCTGAACTTTCTCATGACTCAGTTAATTACTAGTCATGGTAATTTTAACTCATATCCAAAGAGGTTCCATCTGAGGAGCTCAGACATGTGTCCCTACGATAAAGTCTCAATGCAGGATAACCAACACTACTTGTGGGACTGCAAACTCTTCACAGAGGAAAGAACAAGACTAATGGGTCATGTTCTACTCACAGGGAACAATTGGCCCTGCCCCAACAGCAGACTTCTTGAAGATGAAAACATCTATCGGCATCTGAACAAGTTTCTAACAACAACTGCAGTGCTCAACTCATCGCGTAACTGGCCAGCCACAAATGGTAATTGTCAATCTGTACTAACTGCTTAGATCCACTACTACAATCACAAGATTTTCCCTTTCTGCATTTTCTGTGCCTAGGAATTGTGCCTTTGTTGATACTCTGTTTCACCACCATGTTTCTGGCCTATTCTGTCTTTGTCAGTGTACACAAAATGTACAATGTCATAGTTGTATCATCTGTCTGTTCTATAATCAATTGCACAGAATGTGTAATTGTCCTGGTTTGTCACCTACATTCAGGTTTATTTAATTGTATTCCTGTTTATTCTCTGCCATGTTCATACATTATTGCTCACCATGCATAAACTGCTGCCTGTTATTACTGTACATCTTTGCATTTACTTTCTGTAACCTGTCCCACCCCTTTACTGGCTGCACCCAACTTCATAATGTCTTACATTTCTTGTAACAGCAGTATTTTGTATACATTGTTTCGGTTTCCCACTCTATGGTGATATTGGCTTATTCCATTGCCTTATATCTAGGCATCTTTATTGCTCATCCTGTTGTTCAATCCTCTGTCGCATGCACTTATAACTGTACAGAATATTTAATTAATTGATTGTCTTGTAATTACAGTAGAGCGTCGTTTATCCGAATCAATGGGGGACTGGGGTTGTTCGCATAAATGATTACGTACGAAAAAATATCCCATGTTGAAATTTTTCTCCATTGTATGTCACTTCGCATTGAATTTTCGTCGATGTTAAGCCTAATGTAAACTTTTTAAAATAATGATCGTGGCTATTGTATCATTAAAAATTGTTTCTTTATTTTTTACAAACAAAATAAATACATTGAAAAATATAAAAACAAAAAAAACTGATACTTTAGAAGTTAATCTAGTATCAAAAACGTTCAATTCAGCACCACACATAGTCCTCAGAAAAACACCGCACAAAAGTTCCATGCTGTCAGCTAAAACACACATCAACAAAAAAATATTGGAGTAGCCCAAGATATAGCCAAAGATTGCATCACCACAACACTAGCAAAAATTTAAATTTGCCGACTGGAATTATTTCGGATAAACGATGCTCTACTGTATACTTCTTGATTGTATTGTCCTCATTTGCATTATCGTCCTCTCAATGTAAATATCCCACATCTTCATTTTTATACACAAATTATTAACCTGTTTTTCTTGTAACAGCAACTGTTTGCCATCTATATTTCTGCGTTCTGTAACAATTGCATAATCGGTAAGCAATTGGCTTGTTTAGCTGTCATACCAGGTGCACCTTACTGTCATACTCTCATCTCTGTTTTGTATCTAGTACCTTGTACAGTGGTGCCTCATATAACGTATGCCTCGAATAAGGGACACTATGAACAACGGACTTTGTTTGGCCGTTACATGACTCAAGCAATGGACTGGCTGCGAACAACAGACTTTCCGTTCGGCAGTTACGTGAGGCAAACAACAAACTTTCTGCAAACAAGTGTGAATGATGTTTTCACTCTTTTGCCATTGCCAATGACAAGCTGCTATTTTTATAATACAGTAGAACCCCTCTAATCCGTCATCTTTGGGACTGGGGATATGGTCGGAACGCAAAAAAGGTCAGATTATCAGAAAAAAGTAAAATAAACAATCTTCCCCTTTGTCCAGTCTTTGTAGTACTGCTAATTTTTCATTTAATGAAAGAGTAACATGTTTACGTTTCACTCCTGACATGTTGAAAAATACACAAAACTGTATACGTACACACAATGTAAAACATATACTGTAACGAACACAGAACAACGCGATGGGCGGTAAGTTACTGAAGAGTCGGGACAAGTTTCCCGACTCCGACCACGGTCAGATTAACTGGAGCGACGGACTAGAGGGGTTCTACTGTATATTAGTAGAGGAGGTGGTATTATGGAACCCCAATTACATTTTAGTGAATTGTAAACAAGGTATCATAACTACACCCACATTTATGGAATTATGGTATTTATGGTATTATGGAACCCCAATTACATTTTAGTGAATTGTAAACAAGGTATCATAACTACTACACCCACATTTTTTGTGCGAAAAGTACTGGTAACTATTAAACTAAATGTTCCTAATTGGATTTTTTGCTAGTGTAACTATAAGTATGGTTTTTGAAGGCTTTTATACAAAAAGTCAGAAAGTAGGCTTAGAGAAAATCAGGTGATAATATGGAACCTTACTGTATGTTTTCAGAAAATGCTTTAATGTATCCAAAAACAAATAGGAGAGTACAAAGAATGTTAAATAATTACAAAATTATTTACTGCAATGTATTTTATCAAAAAAATGCTTTTATAATAGAAAAATATGACCTCCATCAACAATATATATTCCAGCAGCTCTTTTTCAATAATCTCAGGAAGAATTGACTTTCTACCTAGTGTTTTTTTCACAAATTACTCTGGACGAATGTCTGCTTGCAAAGAGAGAGTTCGGAGGAGTTGAGTTCCATATTACTGTAAAAGCACAAATGGGTCGTATTTCACTCATTGCCATCTTGAATTAACTTACATCTGTCAAGACCAAAATTTAAAAAACGTGAACATCACACAGATTAATATATACCCCTAAGTTTCTGGAACGGAATACATGCACCAGTGAACCTACAACTACATGATTTATATTTAAAAATAATTAAATTCACTTAGCATTCAAAACTTGCAAATTTTGAAAAAAAACAAATTTGCAGATTAAATACAAACAACTGTTGAACTGAAGTAAAACGGGTTTTCCCCTTGCTATGGATGTCTGCCTAGTTCAGTTCAGCCACAATCCGCTACAGTTCGCCTTTATTATCAGTTCGAAATGGGGTGGTTCCATAATACTCGCAGTGTTCCATAATACCATCTTTTCCTCTATTATTAGAATATATTATTAGTATATCTGAAGTACAGAGCTCCCGTTGGGATTTGGCTTGCTCCCTTGTTTATTACGTACATCACCTCAGTGCAGGGTATTTACATTTATTCAAATGTTGTGCAAATCATGGCTTCTAAAAAGACAAAAAGGTGATTTCAATTGAAACAAAGCAAGACATCATCAGAAGGAGTGAAAGTTGACAAAAACTTCCTTGTCAAATGGGGAGAGGTTAAGGAGTTTACCAACACTCATTTTCCAAACAGAGCTGAGGCCAACAGGATCAATGATCTCTACAATGATACCCTTGCCCATCATTTCCAACAGGTATTGAAGAAGAGAGAGAAACAGACCACCTTGGACATGTTTTTCAAGAAGCCAGCTGCCAAAAAACAAAGGATGAAACAAGAGGAGATGACCCTGCAAGCTCTGGTAGCCTCTCCTGAATCTGACTCCGATTAAAAACAATAAAAAGAGACCCTCTGCAATGTGTAAAAAGTCTGTATCTGTATGAATGTGTGAAGAAATTGTTCCTCCACCTCCTCCTCACAACATCTGACTACCCGGCATAATTGGTGACTGCTCCATTTTCATTTTTTTAATAGTACAGTACGGTTATTTTATGCTGCGGAACGAATTATATGTTTTAACATGTATTTCTACGGGAAAATGCATTTCATATAACGGACTTTTCACTTAATGGACGTGCACCTGGAATGGATTAAGTACGTTATACGAGGCACCACTGTATTTTGTGTTTTGTATTTGTAAACCTATTACATTGTTAATAAATGTGTTGCAGGCACCATCGGCTCAAACCTTTAACCCCCCCTACTTTGACCCACTTTTACCTCCTATTCTTCACCTCGCTTCTTATTTCATTATCTTTCTCCCCAACCTCCAGGTCGTACCTTTGAGTGATACCTGGAGTCCCCCCTTCTTTCTAAAAATACCTGTGTGTGAGAGACAATTTTGTTCACTTTCTTTGAAACTTAACTCCTGTATTTTTTCAAAAATTTCTGAATTTTTGTAGAGAGATGTGTGTGTTAGAGGAATTGATGCTATTAAATTTGTTCGTTAAATGTTGACGAGGCAGGAGATAAATGGGTTGGTTGCTTGTCATATATCGAGTAGGGTCGGACTTAATGATTTTACTCATTAGCAATTTTTATAAAACCCATACCTACTCAAAATTAAGCTTTTTGCCATTTTATAATAGTTAAAAATATTATAAGTTTTTTTAAATAAAATATTGTAACAGATGGCATCACCAAAATTTTAACTGTTGCAGGAAAGTTAAGTAGTTTGTTGCTGGATTTTTTAATTTTAGATTTAGATAAGTTTTAAACCTTTTTTTTCACAGTTTTAGTTTTCTATGCCACAGAGCTGTTTTGCTTTCCTAGAAAATATAAGATATTTAGTATTAAAAACTTTTAAATATTTTTATAAGTTTGTTAATATTATTATAATTAATTTTTTGATTAATTTTAAAAATAAAATTTATTAGTATAAAATTTAGATGGCTGGATGGTCAAGGGGGTTAAGGCATCAACCTATTGCTATGGGGGACCCTGGAATGAATCTAGACAGTCTAGAAAAACTCCAGAAATTTTTTGGGGGTGGTTCATCCTGGATATGTCAGCCTCTATCCCTCACTAGTCAGCCACCCCATTGTATGCTTGATTAAAAGGTTATCTTAGTGCCCAAAGAGCAGAGACAAAAAGGAAGGGAAAAAACTATAAAATAAAATATATAAAATGATTGTTCATTTAAAATCAGGATTTTTTCATTTTATATTCTACTAGCAGATAAGCCCGGTGTTGCTCGGGCAAAAAGTAACAATAGCGAAGATTAAGATTATTACATTTTCAAAGAATGCAAGAATTAGGTCCCCCTGTTTCCAGACTAATTAGAGAATTTTTAGATGGGTTAAAAAATGTTAGATTTTCCACAAAAACAAAAAAAACTGCATCTGCGCCTGTAAATCTTCCACATCACTTTCTCTTAACACTTCCATTGTCGAAACCTTAATCCTGTCCCTTTCCCCCCAGGGGGAATTTCGAAAAATCCCTTCTTAGTGTGCATTCTCGTGATGTACCCTAACTGTGTACCAAATTTCAACTTTCAGCTCCTAATCGCTTGGGCTCTGCGCTGATTATTATTATTATGTTGGGTTTAGTGGGATACTCGGTTCACACCGGTGGCTGTGTACTATGCCGGACCAGAGTCAAGGCATAGCAACCAAAAACAAAAACTAAATAAGTGTGTCAGTGTCTGTATTCAGGAATTTCCTAACAATGTGGCATGTATTCAATATAGTAGCCTTCTGTAGTGTGATGTATTTCTATTCAATTGTAATGTTCCCAGGCTTTTGTGTAGTGTGTGTGGTATCACACCTGTACAGGAGAAAACGACAGGTTATTATTATTATTATTATCAACCTGTCTCAATTATATATATAGATTGAACAAATAAAGTGTATTTAAAACATTTTGTATATTTCATTCATTAGTATTTGATTGTTTACAAACATAAAGTCATACGTAAAGATGACATTTCCCAGGAGTTTCTTCAATTTGAAGTAATGGACTCACAAAAAAATATAATTTTAAAGTCTTTTAATTCTCCTGTTTTCATAGACCAAATTAGAAGTAACAGTCAAATAACTTGAAGAAATAAAAAATCTTCTAAGACCTTAAAGAATAGATTAAAAATTATCACAAAGTTAAAATATGATCAAAACGCCAACCTTTTATTAGAGGCTACAGTGCTTTCACATTTGGTTGTGAAAACAGGAGAATTAAAATACTTTAAAATTATATTTTTATGAGTCTCCATTACTTCAAAATGTTTACACACAATTTATTCTTTGAGTTTTCATAATTTATTGTTAATTGTCACTTACTAAATACAGTATTTTACTGGTGAAGCTAATTTATGAATTGTTTTAAATATTGATAGTTCAATGATTACTTTTGCTTTACTTACATAGAAATTTTCATAATTTCACATAGTGATACTATTGCATATTCAATGATAATAGAGAAATTCATTATTTCAATTAATATTAAAATATCTAATTTTATAGGTATTTTTGAGATGTTATATTAAGTTCTTTCATAATTTTATCTAATTTTACGTTAGTATTTTTTATTTATCCACTTAAATATGCCTAATACCACCTAATTAACTTCTAAAGTATAACATCTACTTTATTTATAATCAAAGAAAATAGCAACGGAAGAAAAATTTACCAAATAATTATTGATTCATTATATGAATAATAAATTTTTATGAAAAATCATAAAATTATTATAAATTTATTTTAAAAAATTATTTAAATATTTAAGAATTTATTAAATCTTTCTTGATTATTAAAAAAAACTTTCTTATTTTTACTAATAAAAAATTTTTTTCTTCTTTAGAGCATGCTGGTCCAAGTATACATATTTTATCCAGACATTCACCTTATCCTGGTACAAAAATTCAGAGATTTCCTGTTCCAGATAAATATGTACCTTGGGAAGTCATGTGGACAGAATATGATCCAGTAGCTTATACTAAACCTCTCTGCGATTTTCCTATTGAAATACAATCTTATGTGGATGAGGATATACTTTTGTAAGAAAGTGAAAATTAAAAATAATTGTTTCATAGTTTATATTGATACAAATATGCAAATATTTACATCATAGAATTTATGAAGGAGATAAGAAAGACAAAACATTGCCCATCTTACAATGGAATACTATTAATGTCAATGTAGCTGGAGTTTATACCAATAGAAAATCATGGATGGTTGATTCTGATGGCATTCCACTAATTTATAAACTGGACAGTGAAAATTTGCCACGGTATATATTAAGTTATTCTTAAGATATGCATTGGTATTAATTTTAATTAATGTTAACTTTTATTTAGAAATCCGATGGGAAGAAGTGGAATTAGAGGAAAAGGTATACTTCCTCGATGGGGTCCTAATCATTACATTTACATAATAATAACAAGGTAATGCTTCATTCAAACTGATCCAATAATAAAGATTTAAAAAATAAGTAATTTATTTTTATCAATGAATTATATTTTTATAATAGATTTATTGATGTTACTTTTGATAACAATTATTAAAGGCAAAAAGTTTAAATTAGTTAAAATTCTGAAAAATTGCAACACATTAATGATTAGAACATTTTGCTGTAAATATGTTAAAAGCCCGGATAATATGCTTGAATGATTGATATTTTGAAGAAACTATCTCAATATTTTTTGAAATTTTATTATGCATATAGAAATCAGCAATATTACATTGTAATTAGAATTTATAATGTAATTCTAGGAAAATAAATAATTGTTTAGTTATTATTACTGTTTGTAATTATCAAATTACTGTACAATGACCTTAATATATTTACGATAAATTTAAAGAATCTTCTAACAAAAAATATGTCATGAAATAAATACCATATTTACTCATGTATAAGATGAGGTTTTTATTCATTTTTCACTGCTTCAAAAACCTAGGTTGTCCTATATGCACAAGTGAAAGATTCTGTTTTTGCAATAATTTTTGAGCACCATGTATTTGCAATTTTTACCAGATGCTCACCCTCTGGTGTTTAAAAACAACTATTTTATTTGGGTCATTTGAATTATTCTTGTGTATTGCAGGAGTAAAGCAATAGAAAAACCAAAGCTTTTGAATTGAATTCCAAATTGAAATTCCAAAATCATACATCAGCCTGATATAAGTTTTAATCCATTCCCATGTGAAAACATGATTATTTGGAAATCAGAATTCAGAGAAACTCAAGTGCAATCAATGGAGAGTGAATTTGACTGTTAAGAATTGGCAAAATAGTTCCCGATTGTCCAGCTTTACGTGAACAAATTATGATATTGATTTTACAAGATTTTTCCGTAAAGTGTGTGTAAAATGCCAGTAATTTTTGTGGGACAATGTGTGTATTTACACACATTTGATAATGTTTTATTTGTGATTAAACAAAATAAAATCAGAATTGTATTAATGTATCTAATTTTCTTTAATTTGATCTTTAGTCACACCTCATCTCATATGCGAGTAAATATAGTAATTGTATGTTGAATTATATTTTAAAATTTAATAATTAGAGTGGCACATCATCAAATTGAAAATTCTATAATAATTTCCATAAGAAAACTTACTCCTATTAATTTTTCTTTTTATTATAGTAATATTGATTGAATACTGTAAAATAAATAAGGAAGTTTTGCCAATAATTAAAACAGTACTAGTATATACAGAATATCAAGAGTTTATAAACAGTAAAATACTTGTTGTTTTTCTAAATTTGCAGAAAATAATTATATTGGAAAATTCTTCTCAAATAATTTAATCAGGTCAGCCATATGGCAGAGGTGCTTAAGATGTCAACCTACCATTCTGGCTGATTCAAGATCAAATCTGGGCAAACAACCCTATAAAATTTGGGAACTTTTTCTTTGATATGTCAAGACAAACTCTCAACATCAGCCACTTCCACTGTAGATCAAACCCACAATGAGTATGATTTTAAAGCCCTTTAAAAGGAACATATAGCAGAGAATAAAAAAAATTTTTTTAATTAAATTGTTTCTAACAGCTGGATATTAGATTGGTGAAATTCTTGATATGTAAAAATTGTTTTAAATTCTTTTGTATTTAAGATAGCTATTCTTATCATAATCAATACATTTTTACAGCAACTTCATTACTACTTAATAAATTTTTATATGGCATTTGTTATCCCACATATCAAAATAACTCAAAGTTAACATTTTACCAATTTTCATTATATTAGATTAATAATTTAAGTTACTTTCATACATTATTATTTTTAGATGGCAGAGATCAAAATTACCAATTGCTGGTGGAAAAGGTTTGGAAGTTATAGTAATGAAGAATGAAAAAAATCAAATAACACTTCCAGGGGTAATTATTCATTTGTTGTGTTTTTTTCTTAACTAAAATTCTTTGAATCAATGAATTCTTAAAAATTTTTTAAGAGCTTTGTTGGAGCTGACAATCAATATCAAATGCTTGCAAATTTATTTAAATTGGATAAGAGTAAATGGCAAAATAAGGAAGAAATGTTACAGGTAAACCTAAATCTTATTTCAAATAGTACATTTTTTTGAATTGTGCTGTTTAACAAAATTATAATTAATAACTTTTCTCAGTTCTTTCAAGGATGCGCTCATTTGGAGGAAGGTAAGGACTCTTCAGGATCCGAAATGAAAGGACAACAGTTACTAGTAGGTTATATGGATGATCCGTGCAATACTGATCAAGCGTGGCGAGAAGTGGAACTCTGGCACATTCATTACTCTGAAATGGAAACTCTTGGCGAAAAATTACAGGTTTTATTATTTTAAAGTAATTTGCAATATTTTAATTATCATTTTTGACATTATCTTTTTTTTTTGTATTAGTCTCCGCTTTTTTGGAGGTTGATTACCGAAGATATATTTATGAAACTACCACCGGGCCAGGCCCTCCTATTACAAGAAGTTACGCATAATCTCCAACCTTCCATTATATAGTTTAAAACTATTTTTATACAAACAATTTTACAGATACAAGCACAAGGAGATTAGTTTTATAATTTATTTTCCAATTTTTAACCAGGATATTTTACACTATTTAAAATTTAGAAAAATATTTTTGGAATGAAGCAATTTTTTACATACAATATAACTGTGATAAAAAAAACTTTTACTTATTTTGTAAAAGTACATTAATAATAAGGACTTTCATCCCATACATGATAATTTTTGTAAAAATTTAATTTAATTAGATATAAAAAAAAACTTAACAAATTGGTGCTTTCAGACACTGCTTGTGTCTTTTAGAATTATAATTTTATTTATTCTTGCAACATTGAAGAGTGCTATATTATAAACATTTTATTATGTAAATTGCAGATTGTCTCTTTGAATGTTTTAATAAACCAATTCCTGTTATCTTCCAAATTACGGCAATTATTTCCATGGATTCAATTCTTCAACTCCGACGAATCCAGACTGTTTTGGTATCATCTTGTCTTTTAAGCTGGCCAAATCCCGAACCCGTGCAAGCTCCCATGGGGAATTGCTCGCGCAGATTGCTATCTGTGCGACCAATTCTCCATGGGTGCTAACACCGATTCGGATTTGACCTGTTGGCAGAAACTCCTTTGGGTCCAGAAAAAATTAATCTTTTATTTGGAGTTTATCTGAAAAATTAAAGATTGCTTTAAATAACTGAACTTTATATATACTCAGGGATGTAGCCACATGGGTTGGGAAATTCCACACACTAACCAGCCTAAGTTTTCTGATATCCATTCTTTTATCATAAGTAAACTGCCACTAACTGAATTTTCAATGTTCAAGACAATAGAATTGCATCCCTCTATTAAAACACAAGGATATTGCACTGATCTTCTGATAGGTCTAACCAGGTATCCCTCATATAAAAATTTCTGGCTACATCCCTGATATTCTATATTAAAAGAAGAAATATTGTCATTAGATTTTTCTTTTTTAAAAGAAGGAAAATTCATTATATGACAATAGTACTAATTACTTTGATATTCATATACAAGGTCTGTTCAAAAAGTATCGGACCTTTGGTCGGCAAAAATAAATTTATTGACTTTGAGGTACAAAACCCTATTCCCCTTGGTAATGTATACACTTCTCCCAGCATTCCGGCCATTGCTGGAAACACTGCTGGAACGCATCTTTTGGAATGGCCATCAGCTGGTCCGTCGCATTTCGCATGATGTCTTCTCTCGACTAAATTTGGGTTCCTTTTAGCGGCATTTTCAGCTTGAGAAAAAGCCAAAGGTCACACAGAGCCATGTGGAGAGAGTACGGAGTGTGACGAACCACAGGAGTATTGTGTTTGGCGACGAAAGCCCTAATCAGATGCGCAGAATGGGCAGATGCGTTATCACAATGGAGCTGCCAAGTTTTGATCGACCACAGATCCAGTCGTTTGCGTCGCACTTTATCGGAAAGACGACGAAGGACCTCCTGGTAGTACTCCTTTGCGATGGTTTGGCCTTGTGGTGCGTACTCACGACACACCACCCCACGAGAGTCGAAAAAACTGTCAACATGACTTTTGATATTGCTGCGGACCTGCCGCGCTTTTTTTGGCCTCGAGGATCGTCCCCGAAAGCCTGCTGAATCTTGCGAATGGTTTACGCTCGGGTATCGCCAAGGTTTTTGGCAAAATTTGATGCAATATCGCTGCTCACGTTGTTCAGTCATTTTCCAGCTTAGTGAAATCCGACGAGAGCGCACTACATGACCTCACTCATACGCCGATTGCCAACGACTAACACTTCTTGCAGGCGGGAAAAAATTCAGAGCTGTGCATGACTGTTCCCTCCACAACTCCACCGAAGGAGACCTCTCTCGCATCATTGGTTTACGCGGAAAAAAAAGGTCCAATACTTTTTGAACAGACCTTGTAAGTATCAAGCACAAAAATTTTTTTAAAAATTATTGTTTTTACTACACACAATTATATGAAATTGTTTATATCATAATATAATATTTAAATATAAGCCAATGATTGATAATGATCAGTTCACAATATATAGGAAATTATAAGAGGAAATTTTGAGAGAAATTAAGATGAATGATTTGAAAACATTTTAGCTTTATAAGCCAGTAACATACACCAAAATATTTTGTGTAATTGTGAATTATAGTTGACTAATGAATATGTTCAAAATAACAGTTAATTATACAAATACAGATAAATATTCATTACTTTTGAATAATGGTTTTGAAAATTACTAAACATTGTTATAAAAAATATAGCAGAACACAAAATATATTATTTTTGTTTAGAAACAGATAATTGGGTATACAGCCACACTTAACAACCTATCTATTTAATGACCACTCCTTACGACCAACTATCTGGCACAGGAAATCCCCTTTCTTAATCTTACAAGTTAGTCTAGTTCCTGCAGAGATGGTCAGTATTCACTATTAAATGACTAAGATATTAATCTGAAAGTTTTTTTTTATAAATGTACTGTACCAAAAAATAGTTAAAGTTCATCATTTTTATAATTTTTGCCAATCATTTAATTTAATATTACAGAACATAAAAATACTAAGTTATCAAGTTGGAGATTCTTTTAGACCTTATCTTCATCCAAAATAAATAAAAACAATTAAACTCCTCATTTAATGACTAAAACTCCTAGTCATAGGAATAGAAAGAACTTTTAAATAAGCAGAAGCTGTATGTGACTTAACAACAGTCAATAATTAAGTAATAATTGAACTGATCATTAATAAGTAATATACTATTGTTATTTGTGATTTTAAAAATTTTGCAATCTGAAATGTGTTAGACATTTATGAGTATTAAAATTTATAAGAAATTAATTTCACCTATATTATTTCTGTTGTTGATCTTTTTCAAGTAGTAAAGCATAATCTAAACAAGCTAGACAATGTAAAAGTACATAAGAAGAAATTATTTATGAAATTGATGAGTCATAAAAAAAATCCAGAAGTGAAACGATAAAGTATGATTAATAACAAGAAATTTCAAAAATGTTTATCAGTAACGGAGACACTTAAAATAAATTATGATTTTGTTTCCAATTCCATTTGCTTCAGTTTAAAACTGAAAAGTTTTATGGATACAGTCTTATGAAATGGATAATTTCATAAAAATAAACTTTTTGCATATTTTTGATATGGATATCATCAAAAATGTTGTATATATTAATTATATTTGTCCATGGTATGTAGTATTTGCACACCCGTACTTACATTCAGTATGCCTCCGGGGGACTTTCTATGGGGAAACTGGTCCCTATTTAGGCGTTGGAAACGAGAAGAAAACCCGGAAAACACGTGGCCAGCCGTTGATCAGAGCGTTATCCACTCAGCCATTAGTAGGCTCACAAAAAATACTTAATTCTCCGTCAGAGTAGTATTTTCCATTTAATACAAATAGCTAAAATTAAACTCCTCAAAAGACCATTCGTATAACGAAATATCAGCTTAATTATCAGTTTCAAAAACGAAAACAAAATGGCTATTCTAGGATACGTTACACGCGAGCCTTTTACGGATACATTTACTGTTATTAACTTCATAGTAAAACTTACTCCATGTATAAATTATAAAAATCATTTTCAACGGAAAATGCATTCTTTTTTTTTTAATATATTTTCCTTTCCGCGTAGATAAAGTATCGGTTTCGTTTATCATACAGTATTTAGAAATAACGGTTCAACTATTTAAACAATGGAAATTATAAGATACAGGAAACAGTTTATAGTATCTTTTAACTATTAAAATCGTTATTCAATGACATTTGAGATTTCGATATTAATTTATTACCTGAAATTTGAAATCGTTCGTAAAATAAGTCTCTAGAGAAGTGTCCTAGACGAAAGCCAGTGACGCCACACAAGGATACGTGTGGCGTCACCGGACGAGACGACGCCCACCTAAATGATTCCGCGAAATAAAGACCCAAATAAAAGTTGTGGTAAATGAATATCAGTTATATAAAACTTAATCAAAATGGTCTGGGAAAGGGTCAAATTAATTAAATTATAAAGTAGTAAAGTCTGAGCGATTTTCATCACAGTTATTTAAATGAGAATAAAACAATTAACCATCGTCTTTTATATTACATATATCAAAAATACTGTACTTACCGAAGTGGTGTAGTGAGCGTATATTTAAAAATACTCGCGGTCGACAGAATAAGTAGTTGGTTGTTTCTACTACAATATGGCGGCTAAATGAGAAAGGTGTGGAGTATTAGAAAACGGTATTGGTAGGTCGATAAATAAAACTGCCAATAACAGATAACAGAGTGGAGTAATCGCAATATTATCAGTGGATTATTCTGCTCAGTTTACAATACGCGATTAGATTAAAATCGGTGTCTTGATTGGTTCTTTTTCTATAAATTGTTTAACCAATTAAAATTCTTACATGAAAAGATTAGATACCGTGTACTTTATCATCATATTTTGTGTCATTTAATCGTTCTAAGTTTTGGGATATTTTAAAAAACTGTTCTTTGCAAACCACGAAACCATTTTCCATACTCATGATGGAATTGTTGGAGCCTTCTCTCTCAACTATCCAGAGTTTGGCGTTTTAGTTAACTAGCTACTTGGTGACTAAATAGTATCTATCAATAGGTACCGTACGATAATGGGTGGGAATATGGCAGATGTCTAGTGTATGGGCAGTATGTAATTTTATAATGTATCTTCATATTGCTATATACCGTATTTACTCGCATATAAGACGAAGTTTTTATCCATTTTTCACTGCTTCAAAAACCTAGGTCGTCCTATACGCGCGAGCGAAGGATTCTTTGCGTTTTTGTATAATTTTTGTAAACTTCGCATATTTTACCGGATTCTCACCTTTGGTGTTTAAAAATAAAAGTATTTTATGTGGATCGTTTTCAATCGTTCTTGTGTACTGTCAGGAGTAAAGTTGAATAGCAATAGGAAAAGCAAAACTTTTGAATTGAATTCCAAAATCACACGGAGCCCGATATAAGTTTTAATCCATTCCCACGTGAAAGCAGATGATTATTTGGAAATTCGAAGAAAGACATAAGTGAATTCGACTGTTAAGAATTGGCAAAAAAGGTTCCCGATTGTCCAGCTTTACATGAACAAATAATGTTGTCGTGGGGGCAGCAGGGGCGGCAAAATTTCACAATAAATAATAATAATATCTTGTAAAAATTTGAACCATTTCATTTCATATTTTTGTCGCACCTACGATTCGGACCGATTGAAATGAGCACGAAATTTTTCATTACTTATTCTGTGACGAAACTGAATTTTAGTCTTTTAAATTGAGATGCCTAAATAATGGGGCGGCGAAATTTTCCTCCGCCCCGAGCGGCTGACACCAGGGCCCGCTCTAGGGGCGGGCAACCCGGACATTTGTCCGGGACGCCAAAGTTTAGGGGTGCCATTTTGGTTGTAAGTGTGAGAAAAATATTGATGTGTTAATGAGAGACGAGGCCTCGGGTTTATTAAATTGTATTAAACAATTTAAGTCTTTGTGTTCATTAGTTATTTGGCATAAAATACTAAATTCCATTAATCCAATAACGCTAAAAAACAAACAAACAATGCAAACAAAAGATTTTGATCTATCCTTTGCGCTTGATCTTTTACAAAACTGCAAAATATTTTTTAAGAATCTTCGATCGGATTCGTCCTTCGATGAAACTATTATTGATGCAAAAGAACTTTCTACCGAAATTGATGTGGAGGCTAATTTTGAATCAACAATAACACGACACCACGTTAGAAGAAAGAAAAGGAACTTACACGAACCACGAGATAAACCCATTAAAGATCCAAAAAAAATATATAAAATAGCAGTGGCGTGCCGTCCTTGAAAGCGGTGGAAGCGCCGCTTCCCTTGTATTTTCTAAAATATGAAAATAATTGCACAATATATATTTATATTTGAACCTATCTTATTACAAATTTCTATACTACATGTGAAAAAGAAACGATAAGATCGTTATTGTATATTCGAATAACAGTGGCTGGAATGGACGCGTTGTATTGTCGAAACCGGGTCAGCTTCCAAGCAGCCAGAGCACCAACCTCACCCGGTTAAGCTGGTGGAAGCTACACACCAAAATATCGTATAACGCTTCTAACGATTCTATCCAGGACCGGTTCTGGACTGTTAGCCGCTTGACTGCTTGATATTTGGCCGCCCTCGTCCCATTATGTGAATCGCGAATAGATTTGTAACTTAATCCAACCGATAGGAATTTACTGGTATATTTTTATGATAGTTCTGTATAGTTGACAGGAGTTTTAAAAAAATCCATTAAAATATTTGATATATTTATTCCGCTTTTATTCCGCTCTCCCACTTTATATTACTTACAGATTTCAATGTTAAACTAGTGATATTACGATTTAGTATGTCCCATCTATAAGGGGGTGCAGGAAAAATGTAAACAATTCTTATACAATGTTAAAAAATTAACAGTTACTTTGGCAGCATCATTTACAACTAAATTTAATGAATGAGACGCACAAGGTAGAAGAAAAGCTCTAGAATTTATATTCCTTAAATTTACTATTTATGTATCCGTTTGTCATTAAAATTTGTCTTTCCTCTACTTTCCCGAGACTACAAATATTCGAGTACAAAGTAACCGGTTTCGACTTATTTCTACTAAATAATTAAGAGATTAGGGAATTAAGGACATAAATAAAACCGTGCTGAAAGAGCTGGAATTTTACTTAAAAGTTTAACTAAACCAATCTCTAACCCAGTACAGTGTGAACTGATTTCTTCATAATATTAAATGTAATAAAGACAAATTTTTCCAGTTAAACGAGAGTGACCGAAAAGTTGTAAATTTTATAAATTTCCGTGGACACCTGGTTTTAAAACGAATTAATTAGAAAACAAATGACGGACAACGTATTGTGTTTAACATATTTAGATTTTTACGACTGTAGTGAGAAACGTTTAAAATTTACAACCCTATCTCGTCCTTTGAGGTGTACACCTCAAAGGACGAGATGCGACAAAAGAGGCATTTGACATTGACCGGTATCGGAACCTTCGGAATTCGGCAGCCTGCGTGCAGCATGCACGCACCGCACACCTAGCAGGACCGTCTCTGACTCCATTGGTGTAGAATGCTGTTGTAGGTGGTGAAAAACGGAGCTGAAAACATTCCTGATCATTGTAATTAATCGTATAAGTACGATTCAAAACATCATTCTTAATTGATGATAGCAGACCTCGTTGAACGGCCGAATGGTCGAGCTATTAAGTTATCATTATACGGGTATGGTGAACCCGGGATTAAATCCAGTCGAATCGAAAAGCCCCAGGAATTATTCGGGAGATGGTTCGTCCAAATACACAGCTTCGCCTACCGGTCGTCCCATTGGAGACCTGAACGAACCTATAATGTGCTCGATAAAAAAAAACCAACTTGGGGGCCCAAAAGGCCGAAACAGTTAAGAAATAAGCAAAAAGGCCGACCTTATTGTCAATCAGATGCATAGTATCATGCCTAATAGCATACTCTAAATGAATTGACTCTTTTTTTTTACTAAACATTTTGGTTTCACAATTTTAAAAATCAACATTTTTGAACAAAATTTCTATAATATGAATAAATGGTTTGGTTTTATTCGTATAAGGCAACGCGGCACACGGGCGATCTGCCGAGGGGGAAATGCTTTCCGAGATGTCTTTTATAGAAAACAGGAACTTGCTTAGACGTTAGTAATGTGAAGAAAACCGGAAAACTCCACGTAGTCAGCTTTTGAACAGGCGCAAATCCACAACCAAAATACCAGTGTTCAGTGGTTTTATCTATTCGGCTATTGGTGGGCCGTAAGAATAAATGTGGGAAAGAAATACATTTTAGAAACATTTCTGATTCCTTCTGCCGGGTAAAGTTAGTGACAGAAAATAATTCCATTGGAAGCCACGGAACCATCGTTAAGGTCTAGCTCTTCTCCGTGGGTTTTTTGTTTGTCCAGAAACCCCGTAATGTCTAGGCAGCATCCACATTACGGGAAAAACTGGAATAGCCCCATTTCCACAACAAAAATGTTTATAATCGATCCGGAATCTTTGTCTAAAACTATTATTACATATTGTAATAATGCATCATCCAAGCAACGAACTACCAGAAAATCCGTACCTGAAATAAAAGTAAAATCATAAGTCATCAATCAGCAATACGCTAATTATGGACACATACTTCCCTTTTGGACGACTTGAAACCTGAAAAGGAAAAGATTTCACATTAATAATAACTCTTGCAATTATCTAAAATTGGATTTACGCTTATCTTTTAAATGTGAAGGCATCGCCTATCTCGAACTTTTAATATTTAAAGCGAGGAACACGCAATACGAAAATTTTGTAGTTGACGTTAAACCTGGAGATGAATTTTCCACAATAAAAGAATTCTAACAAATGGTTCATTACTTGCTCATTGTTACTTCATATTTATATCTATAGTATAGTTTCAATTCAATTTTTTTCTCATTACGCGTATTTTTAAATAAAATTACTTAAATGTAACATATACATAAATAAATTAAGATAAACTATGTATTGTGTTTGTATTCTCTGTTACTAATAAAAGTTTTAAGTGACATTATTTAAGATTTCTTTAAAAGCAACTTATTTAAATTTTGTCTAGGACCCGCTAGAGGATCTTAATTAATTAATCCGGCACTGGGTATATCGAATGGGTTTTTAGGAAAGATTAAAAACATAGATGTAAAAATAAAATACAGTGGTGCCTCGTATAACGTACTTAATCCGTTCCAGGTAAAAGTCCGTTATACGAAACGCATTTTCCCATAGAAATACATGTTAATCTCTAGCTTGTTAGGATTGTTTGCTGTCGGAAATGACGAAACAGGTCCTCTTTGGTCGCCTGTTGATATCCGCCCCGATGATCGGAGATGACGCCTTCTTATACGTTTTTGACGTGGAATAATTATCATGTGATTCTTGATTTATAGGCTCGGAGTTCGAGCTGTCTCTTGGTTCGGCTCACACGAGACGTCGCGGATAGGACAGTTTGGTCGGTGTTACGATTATCTTTAC